ATGCGCGAGCGCGCGCGGGGGTACCCATCTGCGATAGCCTTAGAGGGCGGAGCTTACACGAAATAGAATCACTGATTTAATACATGTTATCTGATTTATTATTTACAAATAAATGGCAAAGAATCAACGGCTTCCAGAGGCAACACTAAAAAAAAACATAAAACTAAGTCAATATTATATTTTGAAAAAGTCTCATCAAGCTCAGAGAAGCTYTTGAGATATTTGTCAACATTAATGCGCAAATGCACTTGTGTCTTTATTTTTCAGAATTGTAAAACAATGACCAAACCGGTGGCATGGCTCTCTACTGCAGTTATCCCTGGCTGTGCAGCGTCACCAACACTATCATGATCAATAGAGACCACTCGACCAAACAGTTTTCCTCCCAAAACAGAAACATGAARCTAAAGAGTGTGAAATCAGTACTGGACCTTAAAATCAGCCTAATTTAATGTCAATATATTGTGCATCCCTAATTTCTTTTATAAAAGCAACCAATAGTGCACTGCTTTCCCTTGGATGGATTTTAGATTTTTTTTGTTCAGAACTACTTTATAATGTCTTAGTTAAGATATGCATTTATTTTTATGAAATGCCGATCCTTATTTATAACAGACATGCCTGAACCTAAATTTACTCTTTTATCTAAGTTTTTGTGTGTAAACAGTGAGTTGTTATGAGGTTTTTAGTGTAGCGCTCATTCTCCTCCAAGACTAGTACCATCAGTAACTGACGGTTTGTGACATTTAACCCTCCTGCTGCCCTTGGGTCAAARGCATCAGGAGGGTCTTGTGGGTCATTTTGACCCAAGGGCAGCAGGAGGGTTAACATTATCAGGTTTGCATCGTGTTTCATTTAATATTCATTCAGTCTCTTCAATCTTACCAAACGTGCTGCGAACCATTTCTCCTTGTTCACAGCCACCATACRAATGCAGAAGATTAGAGTGGTGTGAAACCGTGTGCATGTTTTTGCTGCATCCTGGGAACCATTTCCCAGAAAAAGGCAGCCTTGTGGGGACTGAATGTGCATTGTGCACCCGAAATGAGCATCAAACTTATCTGTGCATCGATGCGCAGATAAGTTTGATGCTCATTTTGGGTGGGAGGTTGGGTTTAGGACCAAGGTGTAAATTGAGTTTAGGTTAGTTTTAGGKWSRGKYAGKTWGGTACCTGTGAGATTAATTTTAAGGTAAATGCTCAGGGTTAGGACATAAAATTACCAGAAAATGAATGGAAGTCAATCCGCTGTCCCCACAGGGATATAAAAACAAACCTGTGTGTGTGAACAGGAAGTAGAAACATGTTTTAAGTCGTGATATTTCTTGTCATTTCCTGCTCTCATGTAAAATCAGTGACGGCTGCAGTGGAGGGAGAGACTGCCACTGTGTGGTGATTCTCAATAATTGATGCTTTCCTCCTTTTGACCCATATTAACCATTGATGAGTTTATTTTACCCCGTGCATTCAGCCTACTTGTCCTCCTGGCTGCAGGTGTACGTCTCGACGGGTCAGGGACCTGTGGTGGCAGGGAGTCCCCCCGAGCGTCAGAGGCAAGGTGTGGAGCCTGGCTGTGGGCAACGAGCTCAACATCACACACGGTACAGGAGAAAGCTTCTAATGTGACTCTTTCTAATTTACAAAATAATCAGAAGCTAATATAATTTAATAGGTTGAWTAATGGGTTGGTTTATTACGTTTTCCTGCAGCTGTGGAAGAACTCCTGCTGAATACACATTAAAGAACATGTTTTTTGTGCTTTAGTTCWTTACGTTCCCACAGTGATGGTGTGGACACTGATCTGTCCTTATCCTTGTGTGGACCATGTTAAATGTTCCCCACAAGGGTGGTCTAATGTCAAATTAAGTCCTCACAACGATATCAAGACATGGTGACGCACAGTGGTGTCTCAGTGTCTGAATAAATGAAGTAGATGGAGGACGACAGCAGAGTTCTTCTGTTAGAGAATGGTCACGGTACAGTGACTCTCTCATTACAGGAGACAACTCTGATATAACACACACACACACTGTGCAGGTTCATTTTCCTCTTACTGCACCAATGTGTGTGTGTGTGTGTGTGCACTCCTCTTCACTCTGTACCTGCTGAGCTGGCTCTTTGGTCGTCTTGTAACTGGAGCCTCAGTACATCAGAACACACACTGTTCAGTCTCTGCGAGGTCCCACATAAGTTGACTTCATGCAGTTTCTCATCACAAAGTGGTGACAGATGAAGATAGAACTGGTTTGGTTTCACTGATTGTGATTAATGTTTCATTAACTCTGCAGAAAGTGCTGCATTATCTGCTACATCTTGTAACATTACACATAAACAGGAAACTCATTTAAAAATCTTTTAGTTTGCAACTAATAGTGCGTTACTCTAGAAAGGATACAGAATAAAATTTTTATGATAGTAAGTTTGTGGATTACAGTAAAAAGAAGGAAAATGCAGTTTGTATGACATGTAGCGGGTAGAAAATGAGTCTGTAAGAAACGCTGTGGTGAATTAGATGCTCAGAACCTTAGAATCACAAGCTGGGAGCAATAATGACTTTAAAATAAGGACTTAAAAATCCCTTTTTAAAACTTTTACTGTATTTTAAAACAATCCACTCTACACTGCCTTTGTGTACTTTGGGTTCAGAAACTATTCAAACAACTTTCACCTTGGACTGCTGTGTTGTATTCAATCAGTACTTAGTGATTCACACTCAGTATTTTTCGTAGCGTTTTCTCCCTGCAGCTGGTATACACTCCCCTCCAAACATATGAGAACAGTAATAATTCTGTTCTTTTTGTTTTACACTGAAGACGTTTGAGTTTAAGATCAAAAGATGAGATGACTTCTGAATGTCAGCTTTTATTCCTGGTATTTACATTTACGCTGAGCCGGAAAAGGBTAGACTGCCTTCTCCAGGTCAGGGGGGTCGTCCTGCCTCAAGTGGAGGAGTTTAAGTATCTGKGGATCTTGTTCACGAATGGGGGAAGAACGGAGCGGGAGATCGACAGGCGGATTGGCGCAGCGTCTGCTGTAAAGCGGGCGCTGTACCGGTCCGTCGTGGTGAAGAGAGAGCTGAGTCAGAAAGCGAAGCTCTCGATTTACCGGTCGATCTACGTTCCTACCCTCATCTATGGTCATGAGCTTTGGGTCATGACCGAAAGAAYGAGGTCCCGGATACAAGCGGCCGAAATGARTTTCCTCCRCAGGGTGGCTGGACTCTCCCTTAGAGATAGAGTGAGAAGCTCGGTCATCCGGGAGGGACTCAGAGTAGAGCCGCTGCTCCTCCACGTCGAGAGGAGCCAGTTGAGGTGCTCGGGCATCTGGTAAGGATGCCTCCTGGACGCCTCCCTGGTGAGGTATTCCGGGCACGTCCCACTGGGAGGAGGCCCCGAGGAAGACCCAGGACACGCTGGAGGGGCTATGTCTCTCGGCTGGCCTGGGAACGCCTTGGAGTTCCCCCGGAGGAGCTGGAAGAAGTGGCTGGGGAGAGGGAGGTCTGGGCCTCCCTTCTGAAGCTGCTGCCCCCGCGACCCGACCCCGGATAGGCGGAAGAAAATGGATGGATRCATTTACAATATTTACTATTTTAACTGTATAGATGCTAAAGATTGCTCATTGTTCTCTGTGATCCTTTGGTTCTCCAGTGTTTTTATACTTATTTCTTCCTTGTGTGCTCTAATATTCTTCCTTTATACTTTATCTCTAATGTTGACTTAAATGGTTGCAGCTGTAATAATTGCAATTTCCCCCCAGGGATCATTAAAATATCCTGATTCTGATACATGCAGATGTGTTAAACATCTTAGGATATATCACAGTTTGAATTACACCACAGCATCTTTAGGTGAGCAAAACTATTAGAATATTTGACTGACAGGTGTTTCTTATTGTTCAAACATTAAATAACTCTGCATGACTAGTCTACTTTTTGTCCTGGGTTTAAACCTATAAAGTAGGTTTTTCTTCTTAAAGAAACGTGAAGACCAGAGAGCTGTCTGTGAGAGAGAAGCTGAGAAAATAAGGAAAATTAATCAGAGCCAATGGACAAACATTGGGCAGAGCAAGCWCAACAGTTTGAAATGTCCTGAATAAGAAAGAAACTACTGGTGTGTTGAGCAAGAAGCTTCCAACAGGTCAGCCAAGAAAAACAACAGTAGTTGATGACAGAAATATTGGGAGAGCTGTGAAGAAAAAAAACCAAAACTTCAGTAGGAGACATCACCAACAACCTGCACAGTGCAGGGGTGAAGATATCACAGTCCACTGAAGAAGACTCAGAGCAGAAATATAAAGGCCATACACAAAGATGCAGACCACTCATCAGTAACAAGAATCAGAAGGCCAGAGTGACATTTGTAAAGAAGTACAGAGATGAGCCACAAAAGCTCTGGAAGACACCCTTATAGACTGATGAGGTCAAGATTAATCTCTACCAAAGTGTGGAGAAAGAAATGAAGTGCTGATGATCAGAAGCACACAAGCTCATCTGTGAAGCATGGTGCAGGTGATGTCATGGCTGCTTCAGGAACAGCCTCATTAATATTTACTGATGATGGAACTGATKATGGCAGCARCAGAATAAATTCTGAAGTGTACAGAAACATTTTGTCTGACAATTTACAGAAAAATGCATCCAAATTAATCTGGAGGAGTTTCATCCTGCAGCAGGAAAATGAGCCAAAGCTCACTACCAACGAAACTAAGGACTTCATCAGGGTTTAAATTGGCCAAGTCAGTCACCTGACCTGAACCCAACAGAGCATTTCACATCTTGAAGAGGAGACTGAAGAGAGAAACTCCTTGAAACAAACAAGATCTGAARGAAGCTGCAGTAMAAGCCTGAAACAGCAACACAAATGAATAATCAACAGTTTGGTGTTGCTGCAGGATTGAGTCAGGCAAGAGTTACACCAGTAAATATTAGATGTTCTTTACTTTAAGATTATTTGTTTCAATACTTTTGCTCACCTAAAGATGMTGTGGTGKAATACAAACTGTGATGTATCCTACGTAGTTTAACATATCTCGATGTAAATACCAGGAAATAAAACCTGATGTTCTGAACTCTTGTCTCATCTTTTGAATTTAACTCAAATGTCTTCATTGTAAAAGAAAAACAAAAAGAACAGAATTATTGCTGTTCCTATACCTTTGGAGGGGACTGTAAATGTGCTGGTGTGAGTGTTGAACAGGTCACTCATTACCTGGATCTCATCACTAGAGGGCAGCCACAGGTCAAAGCAGAGGTCTGCATGAAATAACTGCTCTGAATCAGCTGCAGTGTTTCTGCTGCACAGTTTCATCCACCAACACTCGTTCTGTTTAGTCATCCTGTCCTCTGATCAGAGCCTTTAACCTTTGACCCCTCCCCTCATGCACTTTGTTCTGTGTCCCCGCAGAGCTGTATAACATCTGTCTCGCCCGGGCCAAAGAGAAGTGTAGGACCACTGCAGCCCCCTCCACAGACACCGACACTGAAGGTAGAGACCCACCCCCAGCTTCAGTTTGAACTTTATTTTCAGGCACATTGTTTGATGATGTCACTTCTTCCAGATGTTTCAGGTTCTTCAGACCGAGAGTCGAGCCTGGAGCTGATCAAGCTGGACATCTCCAGAACCTTCCCCCAGCTGTGCATCTTCCAGCAGGTCAGTCAGACGTCTGGTCGTCTTGTGCTGTTGTGTTTTTTTGTTTTTGTCTTTATTGTTTGTGTGTTGATCATCAGGGTGGGCCCTACCACGACGTGCTGCACAGCATTCTGGGAGCGTACACATGTTACCGGCCKGACGTTGGTTATGTGAGTCACTGAAACACAGCTTCTCACGAGGAGTGACACTACAGTACTGACTTTATGTCTGACATAAACAAGAGSAAGCTGAAACTAAACATTTATTGTCAGACTTTTGGTTYACTTCTAAATTTAACTATTTGTTGCAGCTTAAAAGTCCAGACGAGTTTTCACATTTTTAATATCYGCAGTGGTTCAAACGTCAACATGAGTCGACTCAGAAACGTTGAAGGAGCGCCCCCTGTAGGCTGGCTGCAGTATAACTGTTGAAGTTCATTCAAGTGAACGGGACATTTTCCTCAGCCCGTCTGTTCCAACTTCTGTTGTTTCATTTACTTCTTACCTATGGAAGCGATTGTGTTCCATAATCCTAATTAAAATGGATTAATAGAAATGCTGTTTCATTTTCAACATGTACCTGATTTTTTTGACTCATAAGTAAAATTATAAATACATAATCCAAACTGTATG